AGATTGTCCAAAATCTATTGCGAAATGTGAAACGTGTAACAAAGCAGGTCATACCAAAGAACAGTGTTACCGAAACAAAACTAAGCAAGAAAAAATAAACTTGGTTGACACAATCTTAAATAAAAATATTTATGAAAAGAATATATTTGTTAACAATACATTAATAGAGAAATGTTTAGTCGATACAGGGAGTTCTTGCACATTGATAAAAAAATCGGTTGCTGAAAATTTAATGTTAAATAATATTTCTTCAGTTAATTCTATATATTTGAAAAGTTTTATGGGAAATTACATGTCCTGTAGCAAGGTGTGTAGTGTAGATATTAAAATTGATTATTCTTATGGAAACGTAAATGCTTTTGTAATCGACGATAATTATCTATCCTATAATATTATTATAGGATGTGACTATTTGAATCAACCTCAAATAGCCATGTTTAAACTAAATAATGAGTTCGGGCTTAAAAATGTACCCATTAATGTTCAAAATGTATCCCAAAATCAACTAACAATCGATATGATGCATTTTGGAAACATAAGTGATCAAGATAAAAATTATGTTTTAAATTTGTTAAATGAGTATAGTGATAGAATTTCTTTTGGTTTGAAGGATTTGGGTAAAACAGACATGGTTAAAATGTCTATAACTTGTAACTCTAATGAACCAGTGGTCTATAATCCCTACCGAATGTCTAAACATGAAAAATAAATTCTAGACAGTATATTACAAGACCTTTTAAATAATGGAATAATAAGAGAATCGAAATCCGCATACGCTAGTCCCGTCATCTTGGTTAAAAAGAAACACAACGATTACCGTCTTTGTATCGATTGTCGTCGGTTGAATGCTGTTACGATTAAGGAAAAGTATCCGTTGCCCTTAATAGATGACCAAATAGATATGTTAGGTGGTAATAAATATTTTATAACTTTAGATTTGGCTTCCGGATATTACCAAATACCCATGGAACAAGATTCAATCGACAAGACGGCATTTATAACACCTATGAATCATTACGAGTTTTTGAGAATGCCATTTGGACTAGTGAATGCACCCGCTGTTTTCCAAAGATTAATTAATACTGTACTTAGAGATTATTTAAACAAAATTGTTCACGCGTATCTAGATGACCTTATTATTCCAGCACTTACAGTGGAACAGGGCTTATCTCGATTAAAAATTGTTCTAGATGCATTGGGGCATGCTAATCTGACCCTAAAGACAAGCAAATGCAGTTTCTTAAAATCTAAAATCTCATATTTGGGAAGAGAAATTAGTGAACACGGTGTTCAACCCGGTCAAGAAAAAATAAAAGCAGTTATAAATTTAAAATATCCTACAAACATAAAGGAAATAAGACAATTTTTGGGACTTTCGGGTTATTTCCAAAAGTATGTTCCAAATTATGCTACGTTGGTGGAACCTATCACCAGACTATTAAGAAAAGATGCTGCATTTGTTTGGTCAACCGAGCAGGAGAATGCTTTCAGTAAAGTGAAATCAATTCTAGTCTCACGTCCAGTTTTGACAATATTTGATCACACGCTTAATACGGAATTACATACAGATGCCAGTAGCTTAGGGTTTGGCGGTATATTAATTCAGTTTAAGGATAAACAAAAACAAGTTGTAGGGTACTTCAGCAAACAAACTAGCCCAGAACAACGTAATTATCATTCCTATGAGTTAGAGACTTTAGCTGTAGTATTAGCTTTAAGATTTTTTCGAGTGTATTTATTAGGTATTAAGTTTACGATAGTGACTGACTGTACAGCGTTGCGTGCGGCTTTTACGAAAAGGGATTTAGTACCAAGAGTGGCTCGATGGTGGCTTGATGTGCAGGTTTATGACTTTACAATTATGCATCGACCAGGTTCTAAAATGGAACATGTAGACGCATTAAGCCGCAATCCTATACCTGAATATTTACATGTTTCGGCCATAGACATTACTGAGGCTGACTGGATCACAGCAGCCCAAGTACAAGATGAACAGATTAGTGGTATTCGCAATATATTAATGGAAGGGATTGTTAACAGGGATACTAAGCAGTATTTTGATAACTACGAATTGCGTGACGGTAAAATCTACAGAAAGGTGACGGGTGGAAAGTTTTTGTGGGTGGTACCCAAAGCGTCAAGGTGGCAAATCTGTAAACTATGCCACGATGACAGTGGACATTTCGGATTCGTTAAGACTTTTAAGAAAATACAAGAAAATTATTGGTTTGCAGGGGCACGTAAATTTGTAAAAAAATATGTTGAATCGTGTCTTTCTTGTCTATACTATAAACATCCTAGTGGAAAAAAGGAAGGGTTTTTGCATCCAATAGAAAAGGTTCCCATCCCGTTCCACACCGTCCACATAAACCATTTGGGGCCGTTCATGAGATGTAAAAAGAATAACAAATATCTACTAGTTATTGTTGATGGGTTCACGAAATTTTGTTTTATAGAGCCTGTAAGAGATACTCAAACTAAATATGTGACGAAAGTGGATATTATGTATATTTTTGGGGCTCCTACTAGAATAATATCCGACCGAGGTACGGCCTTCACGTCCAAATCATTTGAAATATTTTGTAAAACGCACGGGATAAAGCACATTCTGAATGCGGTTGCCGCGCCACGAGCCAATGGTCAATGTGAAAAATTTAATAGAACTATTTTAAACGCTCTGATGTGTACGGCTGCGGGATCAGATGATGATTAATGGGATACTTTTGTTAAACAGGTTCAAAGTGCATTAAATGTTAGCTATAATACGGCAATTGGTACAAGTCCTATGGAGGCCTTAATTGGCGCTAAAAGTAAAAGTATACCAGGGCATCCCTGCTAAGCGCTATTCAGTTAAATAATTTTCAATTGAAGGAATTGAGGAACAACATATCAGAGAAGATGACAAAAGAACAGAAGAAACAAAAAGAAAGGTTTGACAAAACTAGGACGCCAGCAAAAGAGTACCAAGTGGGAGATGTTGTAATGGTAAATTATTCCAACACAGGTACTAGTAGGAAGCTTCTACCAAAGTTTAAGGGTCCGTTTAGAGTTACAAAGGTTCTGTTTAATGACCGATATGAAGTTAAAGATATGAGAGACAATTCTAAAAATGTGAAGACAGTCATTGCTGTGGATAAGATGAAACCATGGATTATCCTTAGGGGTAAGTGTTTAAGTGGTTTATCAAGTAGAATAATCAAAGGGCAAGTTCCAAGGTACTAGTGTACATTTAGGGTAAACAATATAACTATTATTATGACAAATAGGTATATGACCAATACGTATATGACAAATAGGTATATTACATGATAGGTGTTTGTTGAGTAAATAGACCGTACAAGAAAGGTTATTAGACTAAAACACCTTAACAAAGGGATGTTTAAGGTAGTGTATGTTAAGAAATTAGAACGTACAAGAATGTTCTAATGAACTTAAACACTACAAAACTAAAGAAAGATACAGGCTTCCAAAAGGCAGTGTCCGTTGGAGAATTAGGTTGTACATGGAAAACCTAATAGATCCAAACACTTAAGGGAATGTGCTTGAGCTTAGTAAAGTATAAGAAATGATGAAAATCATTTCAAAATAACAACGTGGTGTTATATATTATTTATTTGTTTTAGATGAACCTGATGAGGAGGCTGAGGACAGCCTGGATAAAGGGATGGCCGAATGTTAGGGAACGCCGCCACTGGCAGAATTTAGCGGACCGATGAGCGGCCTGTCCTTATCGGATTGATAAGAAATAAATTCTTGGGAAGATTGGTCACTGATTTTTTGTACTGAAGTAAAGCGTTGTGTTAAAAATATAAAAGTGTTGAATATTTTCAACTGCGTTGTTTCATTTTTAAAAAGGATATTACATTATCTTAGAGCTTTTAACCGCTTATTAAGAATATCCGTCTTTACTGTTTTATATTTATTTTCTTATATTTGAAAATAAAGAATGAAAGTATTTGATATTCGCATTGTTAAACCGAGGTTATCACGGGTGAAACTAAAAGACGTGTTACAATCTATTAGTAAATTTGTATGGCGACTCAACTGCATTAAATTCTGGCAAGCTAAGAGACGTCCTATCTATTCAGGAAGATGCACACTGCACCTAGTGAGGCCGAAGTACTAAGAGTCAAAATACCCCTCCTCCGGCTCTGTTACAAACAACGCCGAACAAATTAGCGAAGAACAAATGAGCGATGACAAAACAGCGCCGTAACAAAATACTGCCAGGATAAAATAGCGCCTAAGACAAAATAGCGCCGTAACATATCAGCGTTGGAAAAAAATAGGCTGCGATACAAAATAATCTAAATAAAATATAAAAAAACTTAACTAATTCACCCAACCTGTGCGGCCTGGAGCCATCGATCATTGTCTTTTTATTTGTTATTGTCATTTTGTACTGGCGCTTTTTTGTCCTGGCATAATTGTGACCGGCTTTATTTTATTGTCCACCGCCATTTTGTGACGGTATCATTTTGTCGCGGCGCTCTTATGTCGCTGCTGTTTTGCGCTGTTTTATCACGGCGCTCTTTACGTCAACGCTTATTTGTCCGGCGCTGTTTCGCAATAGAGTCCCCTTCCCCATCTTATAAAAACAAAAGATACATGGGAGAAACAGAAATGGACTGGTTGTTTAATATAATGACAGTATAATTTAGTATTGTCTACACACTAAGAAAAAAAGTTAAAACAAGCGTTGGGTCTTAACTGTAAGATGAAAAATACCACAGATATAAGATCAAAATTTCAAACAATAGTACTAAATCTAATTCCAATAAAAAAAGACTTATAATACAACGCAAAACGATTTCATGAGATCAATAATAGCATAAATTAAAGACTGCAGAAAAAATACTGAAGGAACATAACTAGCTGAAGGAGATACAATAATAAACAAAACTACCAAATAAGTCAACAGAAGAAGCTCCTCTAGGAGTTGTAACCTAATAAATGACTGTGCCAGTATTATACATATAAGTAAAAATAAAAATACTTACCAATACTCTTTTTGCTGTAGATATCGTCATTGTAATACGTTTGATTGTAATCGCAATTTTGAGCAGTTCTACTGTAATAATCATTTTGGAAGGTGCTGTTAGTCGTTTGTGGGAACGCGACGGTTTTATCGTTAGCTACGTTCGATACCGAATAAACATCTACGTCCGGGGCAACGGGCAAATTATCCGTACTTTGATATGCATAGTTGTAGTCTTCATTGTAATTTTCTGTAGCACTTATAGCACCTGAAATATGTATAATTCAGAAAATTTAGAACTAGCCTGTCTAGTAAATTTATTAATACATATTAACCTAGCATAAAAAGTATTACAAAATCCTTTTTAGAGTATTGCAAAAGTCTTGCAAGCCTTGCAGAAATGCAAAGACCGTCTATCGAAGGCTATAACCAAGGAACTGATACCAGGCTAAGTACCCAGACCAAGGATGCAACAATAAAGTTATATTAAGAACATACAGGTCTTGGTCATGCTTTTACATATCACAAATTCATCTTGAACCAAACTTTTGGATCCTTTCATAGTAAGCTAAGATAAGGTGTTTCACTTCCCGATAGATGGCGACAGGTGGAGACAGGTATTTATTTGAATTATGCTGTGTCGCTTGGTTACCTTATCTCAAAACTCGCTCAATAGCGATTGGTTAGGTTATAGAATAATGTTATATCCATTTGAAACAAGAAATGGAAATATTAATAAGTATGACGAAAATAACAATAGACAAGAGAAATTGTCCCCAGAGTTTAAAAATTTCCACGTGTAGGAGGTGAAGAAAATGAATTACAATCTACGCTACTTAACGTATTGCAAAAATAAGGATTAATGAGAACAAATATACTAGATTTAATATTACCGAAGGATCTTCCATAGTTTGCGTAAGGATAGGGCGTTATATCTATCAATCGATAAATATTCATATCCGATAATAGTAATGAGCGTAATGAGTTTTGAACAATCACATCTTTAAATTATTGATACTAGCAGGATCTTACCGAGTCGCATATAACTATTGTCTAGTTGGTTATCAGCGTAATCAGCAGAACTTGTTCTTTTCATTAGTTTATTTCTTTTTCCTCTAATATTGGGATTCGGGGTTGGAAGCTTTCTACCTGGAGTCATAGCTCTAGTGGGCTCTAACGATTGCGCCAATCTTGCAATGATCCTAAAAAAAATTATTTTTAATATTTCAATGAGCAGAGCAAGACCTAATGAAACTGAATTTATTTATGAGAATAAATACCTGGAATTTTTAGTCGGGGTAGGAGGAAGACTTGCCCCTCGATGGGAGCAGGATTCGGGGGTCTTGATGCCATCTTCTTGGCTCTGCTGAGAAAACTGTCTCCATGAAGCCTTCTTGGTTGGAATTTGAGGCATTCTTCTTCGACCGGTGGACATCGGCCTCATAGGTTCGTCATACAAGGAGGAGACATCTAAAAATATTTATCGTGAAAAAAATGATTATTCTGCACTTTTCTTCTTCTGATGCGTGACCAGTAAAAAAACATATGGAAGTACATAAACTGCAACATATATAAAGAATGTTAAAGGGTTTAAAAAGGATAGTAGAAAAAGTCAAATAGAATAAATCAGTTATTAGTTGCTTATTGCAAAAATTATACATTTTGCCACCATGGTCATACGTATTAGGTTAGAGGCATTTCAACAAACAAATGAATAGTCGATAATCAATCTTCGTAATGTGTTCGAAATAACTTCGGACCATTTATGAATTAGTTTTTGTACGATCTTTTCGGAACGGGATTAAAATCAGAAATCCCTTGGAGTGTCATGCGTGTTTTAACATTCATCAGCTGACACCACGTACTGATAGCTGATTTTTGTTGAATACTGTATTGGGTTAGAACAAATAAAAACATTGACCATTGAAAACAGTAGGTTTTTATTGCCCTAATGGAAATTGCAATTGTTTAATTAACTTTTAGTTTACAAACGTAGGTGAATTCTTAATGTCAATATCAAGACTATTACTATAAGGACGTTTCACCTTTAAGGTTTTACATGTGGGCAAATTTAACGACGCGGATTAATTAAGGCTATAATATGAATTAATTTAAAATGTAATTACCTGAATTTTGTATAGTTGGGAGTTGCTTATTAGTAACGTTTTGCAGTGCCATAGGTACGGTGGGTAATTTTTTGGAAGATCTCGGTTTCGGTGGAACGTACGGGTCGTACCCTCCGCTGTCCCATTGTCGATCTTCCTCCTCCTGTCCGAAACGATCGTCTTGCGAAGTGAAGGGCAACGTATCATAGTATTCATCTATGGTTTTATTTTGTTGGACTACTGATGGATATCTAGAGTAATAGTTAATTATGTTATACAGGGATTTCATTTCAAAACTAGCCACCCAAAATAACTTTTAAAATATCTTTAAAACAAAAAAACACGTTAATTTATATTTACGGGGGGACACATTTTACAAGTATCTGTAACCGTGCAGTTTCATCCCCTAAGCGGTGGTGAATATCAATTCTAAAATTTTAAATAGAAAGGCGTATCATGTGATAGCTCTTCTTAAAGGTCTCTTTTTTCCAATCTTTTGACACATTATTTTTTTAAATCGGATTAATTTTTCACCAAGTTATAACCTAGAAATATTGAATTAAAATGCATGAGTATAAATACCGAGATAAACAAGTTAGCAAAAAGCCTTAAATGTTTTTTGCGTAAGATATTTTTGACCGTAAATTAAAACAATTTATTATTAGTAGATTATTGGTTTCGTTGTGTACTGACAATTTAATTTTGACAATGGTTTATTCTTTACAAAAAAAAATTGAAATAATCTTTATTTATGGTGAAGAACAACGGCTGTGCACGCAGAACTGCTCGTGTTATTATTCAGAGACATCCCTATAAAAATGTTGGGCATCAGTATGTGTTGGATTTAGTTCATAAATTTCAAGAAACTGGAAGTGTGTGCAATAAAACTGTAAGGAATCGTAGAGTTTTAACTGAAGCTGCACAAGTCGAGATTTTAGGACATTTTGCCATGGAACCTCAAACATCAATACCAAAAGTCTCCAGATTAACAAATATTTCCGTTGGCTCTGTGCATAAAACGTTACGGCTAAATAAATTATTTCCTTACAAAATACAGCTTTTACAACAGCTTGCTGAGGATGATTATGACAGAAGATTCAAATTTTGCGAATTAATGACTCAAAGGGCAAATGAAGACCATAATTTTATTAAAAATATTTGTTTTACTAACGAGGCAGGTTTCTTTTTAAATGGATTTGTCAATAAACATAATTTTAGGTACTGGGACAATACAAATCAACATGTTTTTCGGGAAGAGCACAGCCAATATCCTCAGAAAATCAACGTATGGGCCGGAATTCTTGGTAATAAAATTATTGGTCCTATTTTCATGGAGGAAAATTTAACTGGGGAATTGTATTTGAACTTATTAGAAAATCTGATAAATCCTCTTATAACCGAATCCTTAGAAAACCAAATAGATCAAGATGGAAATTTGTTACTAGACGAAGAAAACCTATTTTTTCAACAGGACGGAGCACCTCCACATTATGCCTTGCCTGTACGAAATTGGCTTAATGAGACATTTCCAGATAAATGGATCGGAAGAAGGGGCGCTATAGAATGGCCAGCGAGATCACCCGACCTAACGCCCCTTGACTTTTTTTTATGGGGACATCTAAAAACTGTGGTGTATAAAACTCAACCTCGCGATATTCCTGAACTTAGACGTAGAATAGTGGAGGAGTGTGAGCAGATTACACCAGAGACGCTTCAAAAAGTGCGAGATGAATTCGAGCTGCGACTGTACCATTGCCTTGCCAACAATGGCGGACATTTTGAACATCTTATTTAAGTACAATGTTATTCTTACGCAAATAAAATATTAATAATGTTAATAATTATTTTACTTTAAAAGGTTAAAATGGCATAACTTGGTGAAAAATTAATCCGATTTAAAAAAATAATGTGTCAAAAGATTGGAAAAAAGGAGACCTTTAAGAAGAGCTATCACATGATACCCCTTTCTATTTAAAATTTTAGAAGTGATATTCACCACCGCTTAGGGGATGAAACTGCACGGTTACAGATACTTGTTATATGTGTCCCCCCGTAAATATAAATTAACGTGTTTTTTTGTTTTTTTTGTTTTAAAGATATTTTAAAAGTTATTTTGGGTGGCTAGTTTTGAAATGAAATCCCTGTATGTTGAATAAAATTGTTAATTTTTGGGCTGTATAGATTTTAAAAGTGACAATATTATATCCAAAAAATTAGGCTGTTTTCACTTTGATTAAAGGCATTTGTATGGGTCGAAAGGTCATACAACTTCTTTTATATTGGTTTCATATTGTCTACCATAATGGACAAATTAAATTGATATTTGAGTATATAAGGTCTAGACCTACCACTTATATAAGTTGCTGAAATAAGTTAGAATAATAAAAGTTCGTACTTAATAGAAAATTTTAAATGACTACATTTCGAAAACTATAATTTTAACTATAAAATTTTGAATCTCCAAACGTTTGAAAGTAAAATTTTAAAACTACCAAAATACAAAATAAAAGGGAAAAAATTTTAATATTTCTTTTTTCAATTTATGGCCTATGTGTATGTATCTAATATTCCAGTCTCAGTTTGTTTTTCTTATTCATGTGTATTCTGTGTAGGATTTGTCACTGTTTCCCAGCGCCACTTCAGGAAGAGCACTGTTAATTAGAACTCAACAGTAAATGATCGAGTGGGGAATCCTACCTATGCATTAGAATTAATATTTAATTTTTCTTTATCATTTATTAATGGGATTCGATCCTGAGATCTTTTGATCTCAAAGTCATGACTCTAACCACTGAGCTAACCCACCTCCCTTATATTTTAATGTTTGTCATTTTGTCACCACTTTAACATAAACTAACTCTGTATATTGTTGCTATATTTTCAAACTTGATAGTTTAAACATAACAATCTTGACACTAAAAAAATAGAACGGACATCAACTGAGATGGTAAAAGTACCTGTGAGTATTATCTTAGTAAGGGTGGTTGGATATACATGTAAAATAAATTATTTTCCCAATATTCTAATGTAAAAAAAACTTAATTAAAAAAAAAGAGGTTATAAAATAATTGAAGTAACGAGAAAGTTAGAATATTAAATCAAACAGCCGCTGAATACATATTCATGCTATCGTCCAGTAATGATAAAGGATGTCACATTGACAGTCAGCCTATTAGTAAAACTAAACTAGTTCACTAGTTCTCCAATGTAAATCATGTCAGGCATTATTTTATGTACAAACACAAAACTATTTTTCAAATGAACTAAGGTGTGTTAGATCTCTGTATCTATAGCATTTGGAGGGTGGGTTACCCCATGGCATTAAGGCCTCACTAGGTCCATTGTGCATCCTCCTAAAATGATAGGCACCTCCTAGGTCGTGAGCCAGCCTACAGATTTAATGTAGTTGACAATGTAGTCAAGAGGTTCCTTATATCGTCTGATGTTAGCCGATACTCGCCGAACACAATTCTTTTAATAAATAAGAGCGTCGAGCAATCGTAGAGGATATGCTCGATGGTATCATCATCTTGTTCGCACCCACTGCAGAGTGCGGATTCTGACAGCCCCATAATATGGAGATGCTTTCTTACTTGGCAATGACCAGTCAGAATGCCTATGACTAGGCGCAGATTCTATTAAACAGAACTTTGTGCGCGCGTGTAAATACTGTAAATAGGTATAGTTTTATTTTTGTGAATATTTTGATATATGGACCTAAAGGCTCTTTATGGTAATAACAAACTGCAAGGACTTTCAGCATTAATTACTGGGGGTAAGTTAATTCATAATTTTTAATTAATTTTATACAGTTCTTTGATAAGTTTTGAGTAATTTATTGGCAAAGTTTAGGATACGACTAACCCTGAATAATCTTGTCAAAACTTGTGTTAGAAACCCCATAAATAGTATTCATATAATAGATATAAAAGTATCCGTCCTTCATTTATTTTTTTAATTAAAATTTTATATCTATTTTGACAATACCGTGATAAATTTTTGCCCAAAGCCAGTTTTTTAAACGACTTTTGTGTAAAAATTTAGACGTGGCACCCAAAAAATGTTTCGCCTCCGACAGGGCGCCTCCAGCGGGGTTTTCACATTTGTTCAAAATCTGGCACTACCATCTCGTATTATCACGAGCCGTCACTGTTCTGTTTACATCATAGTCAAGTATTTGTTTGCTGCTGTGTTGTCAGAATAACTTAAAAGCTTCCTGACAACTCTGCATTTTCTTGTGTCATCCCATCTTTCCTTGAATATTACAAGGGAATGTTCTTAAATTAAGTCTGTCACTACCGAATTTGTCAGACCAATAGAAGGGACAGGTCCAAAAATAATTTGGTTGGCTGCTTTCTTGGCCAATGAATCAGCAATATGGTTACCTTTCGATGTGGCGTGACCTTTAATCCATCTTAAGATGCCATTACACGGCGTGTTGAGTGCCGCGCCTGTTGTGTAAACTGTTATTCCACGCGCCATGAGAATGTTCCGGCGTGCCGATCTACGCGCGTCGTGCCATGTCCCGTCTATTGTCGGTAAAATTTGCACACTTCAAACGAAAAGTCGACAAGGGGAGATATACAAATGAAGATCAACGACCCGCGCGGCGCGAAGCTTGTCAATCCACACGCCATGTGATCACGATCGCCCAAACGCAGCGTGGCACTTCACGCGCCGGGCGCGGCACTTCACGCGCCGGGCGCGGCACTTCACACGCCATAACCACATTGTTGATGGATATTTCGGCCGAAGCTTCGTGACATTCTAGTACTGATCCTGAATAAATTCGTGGTCTGTTCAGGGTAAGTAGCAGAGCTGGGCAATTCCTAGTTAAAAAGTAATTAATAATTACAATTATTTTTTCAAAGTAATTTTGAATTGTAATTGCATCTGTAGAGGAATTGTACTTTGTAAAATATATTAATTTATATTATTTAAATTGTCTATATACAATTACTTCTCATAAGTACAATTACTTTTCCAATTACAATTACATTTTTAATTACAATTACATACTTTTAAATGCATGTTTATGAGATGCACGTGATATAAAAACAAGAAATTTTCTATTCGAACCGGTCACTAGAGCTCGGACTCGCATCCATATCAATTGTTTGAATGCATTTGAGGAAAGCGTTGTGCTGTGAAGCAGTGAAATTATTCAACCCAAAATAATAACAGTAAAGGGTTATTAGATGCAGATATCCTTATTTTTAAGACGTATTTTGTATTTATATTATTATAAACATAATATATGTTGCATAAACATTATAAACTAAGGAAATATAGTATGAAGTGGTGCAAATAGCAGTTTTTATGGAGTAAATACTAAAAATTACTTATTTATGTTGCGTAGATATTTCTAGTTATTATTCTGGTTTTCTACATTAAAATGAAGGATTAACTATTTTAATAAACGTATTCTAAGTTACTTTAGCATTACAAGTATTTGATTTTAACGTAGAAAATGCAATATTTTAATTAAATTAATAGCACTTGTAACGGAATATAAATATATTTTATGTTATAAGAAATTATTTGATGATATAGATCTATAACCAAATTTGAGTAAAATGTGTATCATTTTTGTTTGTACGAACGAGATACAGAACGATGCATTTTAGATTATTCAATATAATTTTAATATTATTTACAGGGTGATTCATTACGGGTGGCGACTGACCGTATCTCAGAATATCTTGAAATTGATTTTTTTTTTTTTTTTTGAAAGAAACGCAAAAACAGTTTGATTTTTATTTCAAGGGGACACCGTTCTATAATATTATCTTCAACTGTCATATATTATTCCTCTACCCTACGTCAATTTAACCAATACCAAGTATAACACATCGTTAGAAAGATAATTTTATGGGGAATTCAGCAATATGATTGGTTATTGCGTTCCTTGTAATTTTAGTGCCCTCCGGCGGGATAAAAAATTATTACCTACGGTAAAGTGTAATACTTCATTTGGAAGCTAATTTTATTAGTACTACAACCAAACATATTATAAATAAATACTTTTTTGATTTCAATGAAGGCGTAACACCTTTGAATGTACAAAAAATGGGGTACAGTTAGAAGTGTTACAATATCTCGATGATTAAAGAAAACATATTACGATGCTAGATAGCTACCCCTTGATGAGAAAAGTGTTTTTTAAATACAATACGGCACTTCTTTCTTTTGGGCCCGTTGAGAGATTATTCTCCTTTGCCACAATTGTCAACGCTCCCAAAAGGCATGCGCTGTCCGACGGAAATTTTGAAAAACTTGTTGTTATGAAAAGCAACAGTGTAAACATTTTATGAATAATTATAACTAGATCTTGCAAATTAGGCGTCATTGCTTTTTGCATGCTTGATTAAAAGTAAAAAATATTAATAATTTTACACCAAATATTTTTCGTACATTCTGTGATCTAATCTTGTTAAAAAATATGTTTCAAAGGTATGATATTTGAAAAATTAATTTTAAACTTTTATGAAGTATCCGAAGCTTAAACGACAAAAATAAAAAGGTATCACATAATTTTTGACAATAGTTAATTACCGCAACCGAATGTAAATAAAATGTTTAGTGTTAACTATTTTATCTTTCTGATTAAACGACCCTAGACTAATGATACCCGATTTGTATGATTAGGTAAAATATAGAAGTACCTATGAGTAGGTACACGAACTTTCGTATTTTTGTTCCAAATCAATAAACTTTTAAAAGTTCACATTTTATTATTTACTTACCTGTTCCATTTTTATACTACTTGTCGATTTTGTCTTTTAAGAGGAGCTTAAATGGCACAGAAAACAATACATTTAGGGCTGGTCTTACTTAAAATTAAGCTCAGTTTTAGGTAATACATGTCAATTTCCGATGTTTTATGTGCAGTCTAATGTTTGGGGAAACAAGCCCTAAGTGCTAACTTGTGTTTAGACTGTACCTATGCCATACAAAATTTGTCATGTGTCACCTCAAACCAAGTTTAATTTTAGGTAAGATTTATACAACCCGCCCTTAAGATATTTTAAACTTTAAGGAATCCTTAAGAAAGTCGTTGCAAACGGCTCTTAGTTTGACACTTTGAATTACCTATTTTAAAATTTTATTTGTACCGGTCCGGTTGGTTCATGGTTCCTCAATTCTATCATAATTTGTTGTTTTATCGGCAAAGTAATTAGAAAAGTAATTATAAAACTAATTGCTAATTCCTTTTTTCATGTAATTGTAATTAAATCAACATAATTCCTATTTCTACAACATGTACTTTGTACTTGTAATTAATTCATTTTTTGAAAAAGTACTTTTTAATTGTAATTATTTTTAAAGTACATGTAATTACCCAGCTCTGGTGAGTAGTGCTTGTCTGCTATCTGTATAGATAAGCATGTTCCTTCTAGTAATATTGTTTCTGGTGATTTATTTTACTGATATTATAGTCAATTTATTATTTACCTATAATAACCAACATCCGAGGACCACCTACGTAAAGTGTACATTTTTGTGGGCGAAACTTTATTAATTGGAAAAGTTTCATTGCTTTATTAAAGAAGTATATGGGAAACTATTATAATGAAAACTTTCCATTTCGATTTTCTAAGCATAACTTGAATGCATATGATTTTGCCTCGTGTTCACAACTGAATGCGGTAAGATACTTTATATTATCAAATAAAATTATAATTACAATTTTAAATTTCTATAGAAATTGATGTTTTAGACTTACAAATGAATGCCATTTAATGTTGATGTATAAGTTGGGTAGTCATAGGTAACGTCGTCGTATAATGTTGTTTGCCTTTCTAAACTTGGTCTCCGGGCTAAAAATAAAAAAAAAATATGTTTATAATTATTATTAGTTCAACCTAACGAAAAAGATGAACTCTCTATGAATGAAATATGTGTGTATATTTTGCAGTACTTGTTAAGTAATGTATTCTTCTTTTGTGTTTTTAAAACATAAACATTACTAAATGAAATAAATTAAAATAAATGTACAAAAAGAAACGAAGAAAGCAGGAACAGTTTTGATTATAAAAATTATTAAACTAAACTAATTATGCAAGGAAAATTAGTAAAAAAATTAAGATTAAACAAAAACAGAAACAAAAAAGATGTGGGACAGCAAATATAAAAATGTGAAAAAAGACAAAAAAGATGTTTGTAGGTAAAGAAAAAAGAAACATAAAAAAATATTAGAAATATAAAAAGTAGCGTTATTTACTGTTGCGTTTAAAATGCAGTAAATAGTGAAAATGAAAAGAGAAAAGAAACAACATAACCAACTTACATAACTTGTTTAAAAGTATTTCTAGTGTAAAAAATAGTTATACGTCTCAGAAAATTTTACTTATTAATAGAATAGTACCTGCACAAAAATATTAAATCTTCTATATACCAAAAGAAAATATTTGTCTGCGTGAAAATAATTTGGAAATTTTATACAAATGACATGTCAATTATACCCTAACAACAATAAGATCAACATTTTTACCCTTCATAAATCTATCTTATGTGGGCAAAGCAGTATAAGTCAAAATTTTGGGTAAATTAGTTTCAGTCATCTATACTTAGTGTAAAACGTGGGATAAGTGTCGCTACTGAACTTGTACTTTATAATATAAATTACAAAAATACCTTTTTCTTGGTCTGAAAATCAATATAAGTCGACTTATAAGACATATAACATAAGATTTAATCAGCTTCTAAATTTTTGACTTATACTCATTTGCCTACCCACGATAGAAATATCGCAAAATATAAAGAAGTAAAGAAAGTTAAAGAAAAGGAGAAAGATCAAAATAGTAGGAGAAATTAGAAAAAGACAAGAAAAGGAATAAGAAGAAAATGTCTAAAAAGAAAACGAAAGAGATTAAAATTAAGTAAAAGATCGAGAAAACAACGACCAAAAAAGAAAGGAATTGTAGTATAAAGAAGAAAAACAAAATGAAAGAAACATAAGAATAAAAGAAAAAAGACAAGAAAGTAAAGAGGAAAATAATTTTCTATTAGCCAGGATATTAATAATATGTTTTTAGAATGTAGCGGACAAAATAAGTAATTTTTGTCATTTACCTTTACTGTATTGAGTAGGAACATCAGTGGCATCTACGTAGAAACTAGCATCTAAACTGTCAGCACTTGGGTTGTACACGGTACTTTCGCAACTCATCCAAGACGTTTCGTGGCTAAAAAAAGTAAAAATAAGATTTTAAGTATTCATGACCCTGTATAGCACTTCATTTTTAAGGTATTCTAATCTATTGCCTCACAGAATTAATATAAATAAGAGACCATGATCGGAGCCGAGAATACCGATCAAGGAGAAGCGACAGTAGGTGTCGGTGCCTTTGATATCGGATGACTTTGATTAATACACAACTTAGCACGCTGAGAAAACATGCTTATTTTCTACACTGAGCGAAATAGTTTGGCAAATTATCTGAAATTATTGTTATAGTCCATGCGCAAATGTTGTAATGTGATTTAATTACATTGAAGTAGTTAGGGTTAATAGCAATGGTGAAATTTCGGCACCAAAGTATAATTCATTATGTAATAATTAATTATTTGTTATAAAAGTAAAAGACGTTTATTATTTTATAATTTATCTATAAAATTTGTTCAATATTTGGTTTATTTATTGTTAAAAATGTAATAAAAGCCCCATATTTAATTTAAATTACCTTTTCCTTAAGTAAAAATAAGGTAAATAAAATTGAGGGTGCCAAAAAAATTTAGGTAACAATTAAAAAGACTAAGTTTGAGAGGTTAAACTAAATATTTGCAATGTGCATATATTTTCAAAGCTTTTAGGTTTAAAAAGTACTTACATATTTTTAGAATTTCTAGATTTATATTATATTAAAAGGACTTTCAAGTTTATTACTCATTTCTGTAGAAACAAGTGTTTTCTCGCCAAGTTAAGCCAGATGTCATTTAAGTTTATATATTTAGAGTTAAATACCTGGCCTGGCTATCACCCAGACAATACAAATATGTCCATTGGGCGTCCATTCGGTATACAATTTTGGATGTCTATACGTCCAAAAATGAGTTTTTTATGGACTTCCGACATCCAATGGACGTCCAGTGAAGTATACAAATGGCACACTTTTGACCATTCAGAGGACGTCCAATTCTGGAATATATTTGGACGTCGAATACTGGACATTCAAAAAACGTCCAGGATTATATTTCCATTGAGACCACATCCCCACTTTTTTTACAGAACTGCAACTCACCACACACTATTTTATATTATTAATAATTTGTTTATTATTTTCGCAAACCGCTATACACCATTTTTTTTTTTAATAAAAATCGCTTGAACTGAGGAGGATTCGAACTCACGACACATCCATTATCGTTTTACGCTTTCAATCGCTAGACGAGCTCGACCAAGGAACCACTTGAAAACTTTTTACTAGATACAGTTATAATTGAATAAGATTTCAAACTTCCGCTGATAGAATGAAATGCAATAGATACAATTTATCAATTTTTAATGTTAATAGTTATGTTAAAAAAAAGAAGTATATATAGATGGGTATTATCTGGTAGGCTTAATAAATAATTACCTAAGATGGACGTCCACTGGACGTCAAAATACTACTAAACTTAAAATTAAGTCCAAAAACAGACGTTCTCTGGGTATCGCCCACTTTGACCAATCCTAATTGAAACACGCGGATTTATTATATTTTTTTAAATATAGTTTTAAAATAATATAAACAAAATCTGCAGTTCATTGTTTATTAAATTTATTTCACAAAAAAACAATACCTACATATGAAAAATAAAATGTCAAAAATGATTAAATCATTATACTTAATATTTATGCAAGTGATAAAATTCTCGTAATAACTTTTTTGGCACATTTTATATCTGTAATAGAATACCTAAGTGTGTAAAAATCTTCATCTTATTACTACACAAAACAAACACCAAAAAATATCACTTAACATTGCTCACTTACTAAACACAACTTGGACTGACTTTGACAGATAACATAATTTTGAGTGATACACAACTTATTTTCACACATGCGCGTTACAAAACGGTACACTGAAAACACCAAGCTGTCGCTTCTCCTTGATCGGTATTCTCGGGTCGGAGTGTGATATTTTGTACGATTTACTAAAGAAAAAATAGTAGTTTGTGCAACAAGTGTGAATATAATTGCCATATCGTACAAAGACGAAAATTGAGCAATACGCCGCATTCGGAATCGTTGGAGTGTAATACGAACAATTTACTCGAGTTTTAAAACATATTATTTCTACGACCTACTAACGAAAATCTACAAAAATTTGAAAATAAATTTAGAGGTTAAAAATATAAAATAACTATTTTAGTAATAGTTTATGCAATATGAGTGTGAGTGCGATACGGATACTCGAGAAGTACAGTATATTTTTCTACGACTTACTAACGAAAATCTATAAATTTTTATTTTGAACCACCTCTTTATTACTCCTACTTAAATTGATTTTTTCTAATTTTAACATATAAAGTGACATTTTTTGTAATCGCAGCATGTGTCAAAATGACCTACTTTAAAACTGATTTCGAAAAATTCATTGTTACCAGTTGCGAAAAGAAAAGAAATAAAAATAAACCTTTTTTGTTTTAAAATCAATAATGTACATTATTATTGAAAGTTTATCGCAAAAAAAGGCAGGTTGACTTATAAAAATAGAATTTGGTTAAACTTATAACCTAGTAATATTACTGTTTTGGTCCTTATTTTCCATTCTAAATAATTAAAACACAATACACGACAAAATAACCCACTTTTGTGAAAACTAAATAACTTTAATAAAGCCAAATAAACTCACTACAAGTTGTTGAAAATAAATAATTAATATTGTGTTCAATATTGGTTGCCTAGATATCAGTAAAATCTTACCAAAACACAAATTTATAAATAATCTAGTCAAAATTAGAAAAAAACACTGTAACACGTTACTAAATGCCGTTTTATGTAACTTGTTCTCTCTGCTCGTCCCGCTTACATTCACTCGTTACATAAAATAAGGCATTTTGTAACTGGTTCCATAAATAGCTATTAGAGGATTTTATTAAAATTAACAATTTATTTGAAATTAGATTCTTCACAAGAATCAGACATTTTTAATTATATTTAATCTCAACTGCATACGGTGCAATTCCAAAACCCGTTCTACTGGAGGTGTTTTGATATTTATACTTAGAAGCTTCGAATATTCTGTGTTCAAAACCTATATTTTAAAAGGAAATTATTGGTGTAAAATAATCAAAGTTAATATCGCCTCTACATTTTGGTATATTGGAAGTTCATATCATTTTCCATCCAGCTCTCATGACACATTTATTGAAGACTTTGAAGAATATTGTAAGAGTGTGTGTTTACCCAATCGTATCTGTGTTTTAGTAGGTGATTTTAATTTGGATCTTTCAAGTAATAGTTTTTATGCTAATGAGATAAAAAACATTTTTTTAACTTGTGGACTTAAGGAACTAATAACAAAGCCTACACGTGTATTACTGATACTAGTGAGACATTAGTTGATTTTGTAATAACAAACCAAAATAATGTTATAGCTGCTGTTCATAACTCTCCTAAATTAACTGACCATTCTATTCTTTTGTATAATTTTAGTAACGGTAATGCCCAGCAAATAGAATATATAAAAAAATCAGAAACTTAAATACAGATAATTTTGACAGAATCAAATTAAACCTACTTATGTGTAACTGGTCACTTAATTTAATCAATATCAATGAACTATATGATGACATTTTATCTAATTGTACAACCATTATTAGTAATATAGCAGCTATTGAAACTTTTACATTCAAGCCTACTTTACCTTGGATTGACAATTAAACTTATTCTAAGATGATGTCTAGAGATGCTGCCTATAAATCTTTTAAAATATGTAATGATAGTAGTAAAATAGCTAAATACGATAATTTTAAAAAAATATAGAAATAAAGTGGTCAATATGTTAAAAATAAAAAATAAATTCTACTATAAAGCTAAAATTGATAGATATAAAAGTAATCCAAAGGAAATGTGGCGGATGTTGACAATAAATTCTCTCTTAATGAAGTTTTAAATTCAAAAATTGTAAAAGAAATTTTTCAGACAGTTGAACATGTAATTTTAAATCTGGTTAACACTTCTTTGTAAATGAGCACTTTTCCAGATGTGTTAAAAATTAGCACCATTGTTCCAATACAAAAAGCCGCGAATTCCAATAAGGCCTCTGAGTTTAGGCCTATAAATACATTACAGTAAGTGCCACATCTGATGAACCAGCGCAAATGTTCAAATTCGTTTACTTAAAAATCGCCACACCCATTCTCAATTTTAACCTTGTCCTTGCTTACGGTCAGTAGCGTAACGACTAGATCATTGTTTGTTTCTTGTTTCTGTGTTTGGGTTAAAGTGACTGGTTTTATTTTTGATAATGTCTTCTATTGTGGGTGAAAACAATCGCAGATCTGTTATTAACGGACAAAGTAGTGAAGTAATATACAATGTTTTTAAATATTTTGACGCAACAAAAAAGGAAGAAGGAGTTACTTTAGATGATATTAAACTTCAAACTGCACAAGCAACAGGTAAACATACTCTGTAGTTTATTTGCAATTAAACTTGCGTAGATTTCCATATTTTTTTGAATTTTACATACATATCTATGCATTTTATTTTTGATTAATATTTTATATTTAAATTTTTAAAATTTATCTTCTGTTTCTAAAAATTTTTGTTTCCTAGTAAATGTAAAAAAATACTAAATTTAACATTAATATAATATTACGTTTTTACAGATGTTTCTTATATTACCGTTAAAAGAATTTTGAAGGAAGGTAAACAGTCAATGGAAACAACTGAAAAAATTACATTTTCCACACCTAGGAAAAACTTCGTCAAAAAATCAACCGCTACGAATCTCCCTGAATATCAATTGGGGGACATTCGAAGAATAATTTACGATTTTCATATAACAGGAAAGTCTCGTGTTACTGTTAAAAGGTTAAATAATAAAATTAAGGAAGATTTAGATATCCACATATTAGAAACTTCATTAAGAAGAGTCCTTAAAAAATTACAATTTAAATGGAGAAAAACACAAAATAATCGTAAAGTTTTGGTGGAAAAAATGAAAATAAGAACTTTAAGAGTAAAATATTTGAG